TCTTTTAAGCCTTTAAAAAAAATTCTAACCAATATTTTTGGCACGCAACTTCGGGAAAAGTACTGTCAGTAAGGCCCTCTATCGTTTCAGGAAGAATATTTAATTGCTAAAACCTACTGGCAATTGCATAATTGCAGACACGAACACACACAATTTATTTTAATGTGCTCGGCATATTACATAATAACTCAGTTAATCGATTCGCGTTATCTAAAGTAATTACACATACATATATTACCCACACACGTACTAGCAAAGTTTCTTCTTTTACATCAAAGAAGCTATACTATTACTCATCCATTGACGGAATAAAATAAATAATTAAAATAACGCTTATAAAAATAACCACTAAAGTACAATTGTAAATCTTTTACAGCTTTAATTATTACTTTCAAAGACTTCTGCTTGGGCATTTGTAGGTCTTCGATTGAGACGACACTTTTGTGTCACCTAATCCCGTGTGTTAACACCGGTCATTGGCCCACAGGATTTTTTCGATTCACCAACCGACATAAGTAGTTACAGTCGGATTGACTACACAATTAATTATTTTATTGTGTCTCACACTATTATTATTACCCGGATAATAAACACCTTCAAGTGTTTGTTGGTAGATTTTTTCGAACCAGTTAAATCCGGATAGTTCGCCCACAGCCAAGCTTCCGGGAGATTGTAGTGCAATTGACAGGAAATAGCATTTAATAACAATAATTTATGTTACATTTTTTCCTATGAATAATAATTGTTAAACCACAATTAGAAATAAAATACATCTCTCTTGAATATATCTGCTTTCAACTGATTCATATGCGCTATGATTTTCATCTGGAATTAGAATACACGTCTCATTGATATGCATCGAACAGTTGATCCGGTTACGTGATATTCTCATGTCACTATCACCCACCATTTTTTACTCACCACTATCCTTGTAATCATCCAGTATTACTTCAAGAATACATTATGTATCAACTTTTTCTTTTATTTTATTATTTCAATAGTGTCAACAGCGTTGATTAATTTTAACCATAACTACACTGATAGAAAATTTTATTTTATTAATAGTTAACAAATCATATTTATTAGAGACCACTTTTAGTATTAAACAAATATTTCTTAGTATTTAAAAATATCTGTGTGTATTTAATTAATCTGATATTCATTTATTAAATATTAATCTTTTTAAATACTAAGAAATATTTATTAAGCACTAAAAAATGGCTTATAAATGATTTTTTAAATATTAACAAATCCTTCTATCAGTGTATAATGCAATTATTATGTGTTTCTTCAATAATTCATGTACCAATAAAAAAAATCAAATACTGACACTTTTAAATATTTAAAACTATTTTTCCATTCAAAAATTAAAAGAAGAAATCAAACTAATTTATATTTTTGATTAAAAGTTCTTGAAGAACATTCTGGTTATCATTATCATAAAATCATAATCTCTGTTTGTTAATGAAATTAATCTTTAACGTAACTAAGTTGTTAAAATCCTTGAGAAGCTTATCATCTGTCGGAAGAAAACTTTACAAAAATAAAACTAAAGCAAATTCTGGCCGATGAAAAATTAGTATCAAACCATAAAAACATTTATATTACGTATTAAGATTAATGTTAATTAAAAAATTGACTCGCGAGCCACAATGTCAGTATTCCAATGCCGGCTTTGAATGTTTTAGTGTCTAGTATATTCATGAGCATGTTATACTGTTTGGCATTAAACGACCAATCTCCCTCTTGACCCAATTCGTAAAACGTCCTGATAGACATTTGTATGCTCATGTGTGTACACAACGCCGTAGATCATGCTGGTGTGTCTCAGCGGCTTTGGTACCCACACACACACACATCTCTACCGAGCTTCCTTATGTCGCTAATACGTGTTACATGTCCACGTTACCATTACATTACATTTCATTGCTCTGGACATTAAACATTGGCCATTATACATTCGCCCGGTATTCCAATAGGCCAGAGCAGAACCCAGGGTACCCCCGAGAGATTGCTATAATACTCTCAACCGAGAAACGGTATATAATAAATATAATGACGCGTGACGCATGTGACGAGTGATCTACACTATACGTCACACGATGTAGATAAAACAGTCTATAGTACCTTCAATCAATTTATCAATGTCATCAAATAACAAAAAGTACTTATGTATCCACTTCACTAAAATAATTATCAATCACTCGCTAATTTAATATTCATTATTTTCTTCTTCTTCTTCTTTAAAGTTCTCTTTTAAAATATAATTTTTAATTAATAAAAAAAACATAAATATATTTTTATAAATTACCAAGAGGGGGTGACCTTTTCCGTGCAACGAGGTAATAAACGGTAGTTGCTTTCCGCCTTGGTACAATACTTCCGTCAATCGATTTAACTGTATTATCTAGACGGTTAATTGCATTTTATCCTTCAGTAGATGTTTACAAACTAAAAAGCTTATCATTGAATAAATTCAATCCGTTTTTATTAAATAAAAATAATCGTATGGTAAATTGACTGTTTTATTTTTATTAATCTGGTAATAAATATTATTAAAATAACTGGGAAGATATTACGTAATGCTGTTGTTCATGCAATAATTACGCTAATGATTAAACATAGGTAGGTAATATTTAAAAGTTGATAAAGCTGATGTATAAGGGTCACAAAACGAGAACAACGTCCGCAAATGGGACTATACCAGCCAGGCCTTTGTACATAATGTTCTTGATGTAAACGGTGTACATACTACATACTACTTATAGCAGTATGATATGTATGTATTTATGTGTCTATGTATGCAGCGGGGGAAATGTGGCGCCATAGGGTTAGGGATGCGACGACAGTCTGGCGTTAGGGGTGATAAAAAAAATAACAAGAATAAAAAGAAGGTAGAGTAAGCGTATCACATGACAACCACCGGGGCATGCAGCGCCTCCAACGGTACTTGCTCGTCCAACTTTGCTGGCCTGGTTGAGTATTGATCCGTGAATGTGCCCAAGAACCGCGGGGGCGCTTGCTTGGGTCAGGGGTGTCGCATTCATTGCACATGCGTCGGTTCAACATCGACCCAACTACTACCGTGTGTCTATTCAAAATTCTTTTGTTCTATTTTTGATTCTCTTATTCGGGCTTATGTCATTTCATTAATCTAAAATAAAAACAGTCATTGTCATCATGTTGTCATATGTTACAATGATAATCATGAGGGTGTATGACATGATTTTATCAAGAGGCCAGGCAATATCACCGTTCACGGTGTTAGGGAGCTCCAATCAGAATTTCATACTAATGAAAATTTAATTTTTATTTAATGGAAATTTTAATTTTTTTTAATTAGATAATTTTGTTGGGAGAAAATTTATTTAATTTGAAATAATTATTATGAAGAGTTTGTTCGTTTTGAAACAAGTACCTAGACAATTTATTAATAAATTTTTTGTCTGATTTAGAATAATTTTTTTTTAATTTAGAAATTTTTTTTGTTTATCAGATTTATTTTAAAATAAAAAAAAAAATTTATAAAAAACAAAAAATTGAAAAATTACATTATAAATAATATTTTTATAGATATTTTCTGAAGTGAGTCATTAAATTTTTAGATTATTGGCTGTCCAGTCTAATGCAACAATTTTTTTTATAATAATATTATAAATAATATTAAGCTTCGTTTTGTATAAAAAAACTATAAAAATTGCCGTTTTAAATTCAAACTTAATTTTCAGAGCTTTCAATGTAATATTTACGTTTTAAAATGTAATTTTTACTAAATCTGTAATAATTACAATCTGAAACTGTAATTTTTCCCGTTTTTTATACACTAATAGAAGGATTTATTTGTACCAAAAAATATTTGTTAAGTAATAGTTAACAAATCATTTATTAGAGACCACTTTTCAGTATTAAATAAATATTTCTTAGTATTTAATAAATCTGATATTTAATTATTAAATATTAAGAAATATTTATTAAGGACTAAAAAAAGTGAAGAATCTTTTAACAAGAAAATCATTTTAAAGAATTTCTATTTTTAATCAAGCAAAAAATTTTTCAGTAACTTGTAGCTTGATTCAAGACAAAAAATTTATTAAAATAATTTTCTTACCTAAAATTTTTTCTTTAAAATCAAATTAATTTTTTCTATAAAAATAAAGTCTTATAAAAATTAATAACTACTTGATTTCCTTAAATAAAAATTGTATTAAAAATCACCGAGATTTTTTAACAACCCTAGACATAAATTTATAAATTTAAGCAAATTGATATCACATAAATAACCATGCGCATTACAGTCATTGATCTAACCTCGCATTCGAACTATTAACCACTCTTTTATGACAATATACAATAACTCTAATTCTTCCCACACAATAGCTCGTGGTGATGAGTCATTAAATGTTTTATTACACGTGACATATACACCGCCCGATATAATGCGAGAATCTCCAGAAAATTGTTTCCGTATGACTAATAGAGTATTGCAACTACTTGAGACGGGTTTTACGTCTGACTTAAATTGACCATTACCACTTGGCTGAAATTCGGCTTTATAATTAATTAAACCCGCGCATGAAATCTGTCCCTATTAAAAAACTACTCCAGAATTCCCAATTAAAAAATAACAGTGAATTGACAATAAAATCTAAATACTCATATTGAGCATTCATGAGATATTATCTGACACGTCGACGCCTTTTAAAATCGTCTAAACGGAAGTACCTGGTTATCCAATGGTACACAAGGCCGCACTTGAAACTATAAAACACTATTTTAGGAGCGGCGATGGTCAAGCGCATCACTTTTTATTCCTTTTAATCACATAATCATTCATTATGTATCAAGAGTGCTCATTGATCATTAATCCACCGGTTTATTTGTTTACTCATTCATTCAGCCCTGGTCAAATTTATTTTTATTAAAAAAAAAAAAACCTTTTATTTATTTATTTTTTAAGTTATTCATACCATCACTCATTTCCTAAACTTTATTTTTTACAGCATGGCCGTACAGACTCATATAGAGTCGCCACGTTACCGAACGTTCGCGACGACAACAAAACTGCTGATGGAATGTACAAGGTACACACACACAGAATACACATCAAAAAAAACAATTCTATTGAATTGAATGGAATAAAAATATAATAATAAAATAACAAGTCGGTTTTGCGACACTAAATCAATACTCTTCTCATAACTGGCGAAAGAGGAAACCATTTCTAAAATTACTCCGTACTTTATTTACAACTTTACTTCTACTCTATAAAAATAAAATAAAAAAAACTCACTTTATATTATGACATTTCAAAATAATGGAAATACGTCAATTAATATGGGTTGCTTTAAATAACACTATAAAAACTTTTCTCTCAAACTAAACTTCTGCTGACCTCCAACCTTTAACCGGCTCTATTTAATTAATCCTCTAATGAGATTCATATTTGAATTTATTTATTTATGAAGAAACAGAATTTTTTTATTAATTTTGTTGAAGCTGTCTGCAAACTACTTTACTTTTTATCCTTTGAGCTTTCTCAGGTGGTATTTAATAACGATGTAAATAACGTAAGGGATGAATAAACCAGCATACGTCTGCCCTTTCTGCAGATAAACCTACGCTCGACCTATCATGCTCGATGAGATATAACGTATAATACTAACAAACACCTTTGCTTAAAATACAACTTACTTGCTCGCTCACTCACCCACTTATTTTATTATATACTTATACACACTTACTATTATTTCTCAGGGGTTTTTCTTCTATTATCCTCTTGATAATCCGCTTCGTTCTTTCGCATCTTCCAGCTATTGTTGGGTTTTTTTTTATTATCGTTGAATAGTTCTTCTACACTTAACACTCTGCTAACTTGGTAATTTTATAAATAACAGTATATTTTAAGTGAATAAATAAAATTAATTATTGTAAGCTTTAAAACTAATCCTTCTTTTTCTGACTAACATATATTCTTCTTCTGCAAATTATTTAAGCTTGTAATTAAAATTACAGAGTAATACTTCCGTTGGTATGCATGATTAAATATATACTAAACACTAACAATAATTCTCTTAAAAAACAAAATTAATGCCCGTAAAAATATTTTTGCTGAAGAACGGGCTTTGATAATAAAATAATATACTAAAAAGCGCTGAGCTGATCGTGAGATCTGGAAGAAGACTGAGGGTGTAGCGAAGATATATCCAGTATTGAATAAACATACTGTAGACTTTTTAATTAAAAGGTTAATAAGGATGACGACTTATTAATTTGTGTCGCGCTAACTGCAAGCATGCTGGTTATTGATGGTGATGACGGTGGCTCGGCCTCAGTCTCCAGAGAAAGCAGCCAATTTATATTAATTGTTCAGAGGAATTTTTTACTACTGACATCTCTTAATTAATGCTTGTCGCTCATATTATTATTTCTATTTTTATTATTATTATTATTTTTATTATTTACTAACTTTATTATTTTAAATTTTCTGCAGTCGCGGCGAAAGGCCCCAAAGAAGAAGGGAGATTTAGATGATTTGAAACAGGAGTTGGATATTGATTTTCACAAAATCACAATTGAAGAGCTTTACCAGAGATTTCAGACTCATCCAGAAAATGTAAGATTTTTTTTTCTTTTAATAATAATTAAAAAAACAATAGTAGTCTAGACGCGGTGTTACCTTTTTGTGTAGTTTTGATGTTAGCGGATAAAGTAGAGTTTATATAATGTATTTTAATCCGCTAATTAATTTTTAAAAATTTTAGTGGATTAAAATAATACAAAAAAGTAACAACTTGTTTAAACTATAAAAACATGTAATTATTTACAAGTGGGGTCCACCATTTTAATTTTCATTTTTTTTAACGAAATTTTTATTTGATTTTATTGATGTATTTTTTTTTTTAAATACATAAAAAATGAACAATTAAAAGAAAAATAGTTGATTATTACAATTTTAATAAATTTTCAAAAAAATTTATAAATTTTTTAGAAAATTGTGATATTCAACTTTTTTTTTTTTAATGTATTTTTTGAAAAAAAATATATCAATAATATCAAAAAAAAGATAAAATTGAAATTTTATTCAAAAACATGAGAGCCAAAATTTTTTCTAACTTTTAAAAGCAAAATAGCTATCGAAATTTTTTTTTTCCTTTTACGAGATTTTTTTATCATAAATGCGCCGTAAAAACAAGCAGAATAAAAAAAAATTAAAAATGTTAATTTTTCATCTAGATATGGCCAAAAATAGGATGGACCCCACTTGTAAATAATTACCAAACTTTTAATAATAGTTAAAGAAAAACAATATAAAGAATAGATTCTAAATTTTCTTGACTCAAAGAAAAGTTTAGGAAGATTTAAAATTTCTTGAATGAAGTAAAAAAAATTTCTTTTGCTCCAAAATAATTTTTGTCTTCCTTAAAATTTTTTTGGCGCAAGAAATTTGTTTTTTTTTTTTTTTTTTTGTGTAGAGTTTATTTAATGTATTTTAATCCGCTGATTAATTTATAAAAATTTCAGTGGATTAAAATAATCCAAAAAGGTAACACCTTGTTAAAGCTATAAAACCATGTTAAAAAAAATAATTCTATCCAAAATTTCAACAACACTCATCACTATTCTACTTCCAGGGACTCAGTCATGCGAAAGCAAAAGAGAATCTCTTGAGGGACGGCCCAAATGCATTGACGCCTCCAAGAACGACTCCAGAATGGGTTAAATTTTGTAAAAATTTGTTCGGTGGATTCGCCCTGCTGTTATGGATTGGAGCGTTCCTCTGTTTTGTCGCGTACGGGATCCAGGCGTCGACGAGCGAGGAGCCCAATGACGACAATCTCTACCTTGGTATCGTGCTCGCAGCTGTGGTAATAGTAACGGGTATATTCTCGTACTACCAAGAGAGCAAGTCGAGCAAAATAATGGAGTCATTCAAAAACATGGTGCCGCAATTCGCGACTGTCCTTCGTGAAGGTGAAAAACTAACCCTGAGGGCAGAGGACCTCGTGCTTGGCGACGTTGTCGAAGTCAAATTCGGTGACCGTATCCCCGCTGACATCAGAGTAATCGAGTCACGAGGCTTCAAGGTAGACAACAGTTCGCTGACTGGTGAGTCGGAGCCGCAATCGAGGTCACCGGAGTTCACCAACGAAAACCCGCTTGAAACAAAGAACCTCGCATTTTTCTCGACGAACGCCGTCGAGGGCACAGCCAAGGGTGTCGTGATTTGCTGCGGAGACAACACTGTAATGGGAAGAATCGCTGGTCTCGCGTCTGGACTAGACACCGGCGAGACACCAATCGCCAAAGAAATCCACCACTTCATCCACTTGATTACCGGCGTGGCTGTATTCCTGGGTGTAACCTTTTTCCTCATTGCCTTTATCCTGGGATACCACTGGCTTGACGCTGTGATTTTCCTAATTGGTATTATTGTAGCAAACGTACCTGAAGGTCTGCTGGCCACTGTTACCGTATGTCTTACACTGACTGCTAAGAGAATGGCCTCCAAAAATTGTCTAGTAAAGAATCTTGAGGCCGTAGAGACACTTGGATCGACGTCGACTATTTGCTCTGACAAGACCGGAACCTTGACCCAAAACCGAATGACTGTCGCTCACATGTGGTTCGACAATCAGATCATCGAAGCCGACACGACAGAAAACCAATCTGGCGTGCAGTACGATCGTACGAGTCCTGGATTTAAGGCTCTCGCCAAGATCGCCACCCTTTGCAATCGAGCTGAATTCAAACCCGGTCAGGAGGGTGAACCTATCCTCCAGCGCGAAGTTAACGGTGATGCCTCTGAAGCTGCTTTGCTTAAGTGCATGGAGCTTGCACTCGGGGACGTTATGGGTGTTCGTAAAAGAAATAAAAAAGTATGTGAAGTACCCTTTAATTCAACTAACAAATATCAGGTTTCAATTCACGAGTCCGAAGATACTAATGACCCGCGTTATTTACTAGTAATGAAGGGTGCCCCTGAACGAATTCTTGACCGTTGTACCACTATTTTCATTGGTGGAAAAGAAAAAGTACTCGATGAGGAAATGAAAGAGGCATTTAATAACGCGTATCTCGAACTCGGCGGTCTTGGCGAGCGTGTTCTCGGATTCTGCGACTACGTTCTCCCGTCCGACAAATACCCTGTCGGCTTCAAATTTAACTCTGACGATCCCAACTTCCCTACCGAAAACCTACGTTTCGTAGGACTCATGTCCATGATTGATCCCCCACGAGCTGCTGTACCTGACGCTGTCGCCAAGTGTCGATCCGCTGGTATCAAAGTTATCATGGTCACTGGTGACCATCCGATCACTGCCAAAGCCATCGCTAAGTCTGTCGGTATCATTTCTGAAGGTACTCCTATTTTTTTTTTTTTTTTTTTTTTTTTTTTTTAATTTATATCTTACTTACTTGAATTAATAACAACTGCCCTGGTTGTTTCTCTATGTATTCTATTATTACATGCTCTTTTTTTTTTCTTGTCGCTCCCAATTAATCTCTAGGTAACGAGACTATCGAAGACATTGCTCAGCGCTTGAACATTCCCGTGTCGGAAGTTAATCCACGAGAAGCTAAGGCTGCAGTCGTTCACGGTGGTGAGCTCAGAGACCTTGACTCCGACCAGCTGGATGAGATTCTCAGGTATCACACCGAAATTGTGTTCGCTCGTACTTCACCCCAGCAGAAACTTATTATCGTTGAGGGTTGTCAGCGTATGGGAGCTATTGTCGCTGTAACTGGTAAGTTAATCTATTTATTTAATCCAAATTATTAAGATATGGTTAAATTTGGTATCCTTGGAAAAGTCTTGACCTAGAGTTGTGCCTTTTCATGGTTTCATGTCATTCTCACCAATAGTCAATTTATGATGATAAGTATTTAGGCTGCATTCGAAAATATTTTATCTCTAGATACATAATTAAGAAATGACCTGTTATCTCGTGAACTAATGACATTTTTAAAGATATAAGCTCATCCCGATGTTACACTCATCAAGACCTTTCATTTAAGTACCCACATCAATTTTTTATATATTTATATATATTATATATATGTATATATAAAAAATATATGAAAATGCATGTGGGTACTCAAATGAAAGCTCTTGATCAGTGTAACATCGGGATGAGCTTATATCTTAAAAAATGTCAATAATTAAGAATTGACTTTGCTATCTTGTCAACTAATGATATTTTTGAAGATATAAGCTCATCCTGATGTTATACTCATCAAGACCTTTCATTTAAGTACCCACATCAATGTTTCATATATTTATATATATTATATATATGTATATATGAAAAATATATCAAAATGCATATGGGTACTCAAATGAAAGCTCTTGATGAGTGTAACATCGGGATGAGCTTATATCTTTAAAATCGTCAATATTTAAGAAAGTACAATGCACTTTAACAAAAGTCATTATTTAATAAAGCAAAATTTTACTTATTTATAGTTCACAAGTCACGGCAGTCACATAGTGACTGCAAGGTTGCTAGTTTTAATAAATAAAATGATCATTTTTAATATTTCTCCTAAGCTTGAAGAAATACTTTGAGCATTTGTTAATAATTACTGATTATTAATTACCAGGTGATGGTGTAAACGACTCGCCGGCTTTGAAGAAAGCTGACATTGGTGTTGCTATGGGTATCTCCGGTTCGGATGTATCAAAACAGGCTGCCGACATGATTCTGCTGGACGACAACTTTGCTTCAATCGTTACTGGAGTCGAGGAGGGTCGTCTTATCTTCGACAACTTGAAGAAGTCCATCGCCTACACCTTGACATCAAACATTCCTGAGATCTCACCCTTCCTTGCATTCATTCTCTGTGATATCCCACTTCCACTTGGAACTGTCACCATTCTCTGCATCGATTTAGGAACTGATATGGTAAGTCATTCAAAGTCTTTAACTAGCTTATGTAAATTTAAAATTATTCAAGACCAAAGGAATCGATTGTCAATCTACAAACTGTTTATCACATAATAATAATTTATAATTACAATATTACACAACCAATGTCTGCTCGAAAGTTGATTATACAAGCAATCGATTCCAGTGTTCTTTACAGTCAATATTTCAGAGTCTTCCGAGCCAATGCTATTTATATTGACTCTGGATTATATCAGATACCAGCTATATCATTGGCGTACGAACATGCTGAGTCGGACATTATGAAGAGACGTCCACGTAACCCTCTATTTGACAAACTCGTTAACGACAGGTTTCTTCATTCTATTATTTTATCGCCAGGCAGTAGCTGCCCACTTAATTCCTCGACGCCACATCTACAACATAACAATGCTCCTGTATTATTTATATTATTATAACGCTAGAAGACTATATTTATTTATCTATTGCGTCACAGGTAGCTACCCCCAGTAAACACCGTCTGCTGGAAATCCTGTATTGCAATTTAGAGAGTGCAGTTAACAGATCTAAAAATATTATTTTTCAGTACATAATTATTTAGGATTCATAAAGGACAGTTGGAGCAAATAGCAGCGTTCAAGCAGAAAATGAATTATTTTAAAGTCCTGTCCGTCTTATCCTCCTTTCACAACATCCAACACCCATTATTACAATTTTTACCCGTAAACTTGAAACAATCCCTAATTTTTTATTATTTTTTTATCCATCAAAACTCATAAATTTCATAATTTATCGAATTATTATTTATTATTATGTTGTCATTGAGTGAACTATGTGTAAATTTATTTTATTTATTTTGTTTTTTTTTTTTCTCTCTTTATTATATTGTTCACAAATTCTCATTAAGCTTATTGATAATATGACGTCAGGTACCCGCCATTTCGTTAGCCTACGAGCAGGCAGAGAGCGATATTATGAAGCGACAACCACGAAACCCCTTCACTGACAAGCTAGTTAATGAAAGGTAACACATCAACATCTCCAATCTTCAAACGGATATACATAACACCCGAGTTTAAGCACTTATTAAACTGTTATTACCGCTAAGTATTAATATATTATCTCCACTTTATTTATTTTTTCAATATTCAAAATCCCCTATTATCATTTCCAATTTTCATATTTTTTTTATTATTTAAATTTATATAATAATCCCTCAATTATTTTGAGATTATATTTTATTATTTTATTTTTTAATAAAATTTAATACTTGGCGAATAATAACAAATTAGTGCAGCTCAAAAAAATTTTTAAATCTTCTTATTAACTCGATTGGGCACTTTGAAACTTAAAAAAAAAAAAATATTTTCATTTCTTTCTACTTATACTGACTTTTTGGCTCTGGGTTTTTGGTTGTATTTTAAATAATTGTCTCTCATCATCATCATCATCATCTTCATTAATAATTACTTTGGACATTAAACACGTTGGAATTTATTAAAAAAAAAAAAATATTGTGGTATCACAAGATTTTGATTTTTCTTATTAATCATAACATACAACATTCATATACTTATATTTGTTGTTGCATAATTATATTGATAAGAATTTCAAGTGTAAAGTTGCAGAGCGATAACTCTTGGCTATTAAAAAATATTTATTATTGATTTCTTCTTCTTTTTCTTCCACCTAATTTTATTTATATATTTATCACTTCATGTGTGTCATGTTCTCAATTAAAAACCAACTTCTATTTTATTTACTTCTCGCAACTTTTTGAGTTTTAATCAGCTCTCAATTTCGATTAATAATTATCAATTAAAAAAAAATTAAATTATTTAATTTACAATAATAAATTTCTAAGCCGCGCATTAGATAAAAAATAAATCAAAATAAATTGTCGAAATTGAAAACTGTTAAATATTTTTCTAATCATCATCTAAAAGTCATGTCATTAGATAAAGGGGGCTCAAATGCAAAAGGTAAGCCTCCAAATTATTAACAAATTATTTTAAAGCACATGTCTTAATAAAATTCTTCTCTTAAAAAAAATTTTTAATATTAAATTCATCCAAGAATTTTTTTTTTTCCTGAGTCATCGATAACAAGCTCAATCAAGTAAATCTTTAATTTTAAAAAAATACATAATTATCTCCAAAAAAATTAATTAATTCACTAATAGAAAGGGATATGTCACTGCGTCTTTAGCATGTTCATTCATCAGCATTCTGTCAGCATCTTTTAACTGTACCTCATGTTTTTAAAAACCTTCAACGAACCTCAACGACTAAACATACTAGTATAATTATTTAAAATCAACCCTTTATTTTAAATCACTATATAACTATCACTATATTATATAATATATATTTTTATTCCTACTCAATCCTGCCTGCCTATAATTTTACAATATAAGCCTCCAGCGAATTTTGTTTTTGTTGCTAATTGCCTTGCTATTTATAAAAATAATCTCTAAAATAATTTATTTATCTGCGTATTAATTTTAAAAACAACTGTTCTTATTGTAACTCGTGAAATTGTTGATTTGGTGTATTAATTTTTCAGTTAAGTTGGTTAAAATTTATTAGATATTTTAAATGTTATAATCATCAACAATTTCATTAAATAGAATTTATAATTCTAGTAGTTAATGAGTATAATGTTGTTGTTAGTTAGAAATTAATTTAATAGATCCTAGGATTTCTGTATACTCTTTAAATTACTATTATTTTTTATAATTATAATAGTAAAAATGTTTAATAATATTAATTTTTACAAATGTTTATCTAAAAAAATTTTTTTTAGATATACCAGTTTTAAAAATTGTGCAATACACCAACAATAACAACAGAAATATTATATTTTAAAAACACATAATTTAAAATTTCATAAAAAATAACTATCGCAGCTGCTGTGCTACTTTAATTAATTAATAATTAATTTTATTCTGTAACTTTTATATATTTTATCTACGATTGCAATTTTTATTTTTTATTATTATTTTATTTATATTCACTACTAGGCACCTTTAACATTTAATCAACGAGGACATGTGGATTGTTAACTTATTTTATCTGCTGGCGATAACAAAAAATTACTTTCTTAAAATTTCTTTTGTTATTAATATTTATAATACTAACATCTACAAAGCCGCCTTATATATCACCTGTCTTACTTTTTTTTATTATGTGGCCTATTATATATACTAATAAAACTAGGAAGGATCCAGGAGGCTTTACTGGGCGGATAACTTCTAATGGATTGCCACGAACATTCTGTCCTAACAAAATTAATTAGAATGTTTTTTTTAAATAATTTTTTATCAAGGAGGACAGTCTTTTCAATTATCAACAAACGCTTGCGAATGGCATCGATAATTTCTTTTCTTTTATTTATCTCTAATATTCTCTAAAAAAACACCATACTCGAATCATATTAAATAAAAAAAAAAAGAAGAAATAAAATTATTATAATTTTTTAACAAGAAATAAAATGATATTAATTTTTAAAGAAAAAAATAAAATGATAAAAATTTTTAAAGAAGAAATAAAATTATAATTTTTAAAGAAAAAAATAAAATGATAAAAAATTTTTTAAGAAGAAATAAAATTATAATTTTTAAAGAAAAAAATAAAATGATAATTTTTAAAGAAGAAATAAAATTATAATAATTTTTAAAGAAAAAAATAAAATGATAATTTTTAAAGAAGAAATAAAATTATAATAATAATTAAAGAAGAAATAAAATTATAATAATTTTTAAAGAAGAAATAAAATAATAATTTTTAAAAAAGAAAAAAAAATGATTCGAGAATGGTTTTGCTTGTAAATTAAAAAGCTTAAATATAATCCTAATTTCTTAAAATGTCGAGGGTTTTATTTAAAATAATATAATCGTTAGGAAATCCCATGTACAGGTTTCCTGGCTGAAGATGCTGCTAATTTTTTAATTTCATTTTATTTAAATATCTATCTTATTTTTTATTATTGTATATTTTTATTATTTTAAATATTATTAATTAGAAACACTGTATAACCTAAAGGTCTTTTACAGTTTTCCTAATCCTTTCCCTTCAATGGTAGCACTATTTACCGAACAATACCCATTTCTTCTCCAAGAACTTGTTCGTCAGGATTAATTATGGCTATTTAACGATTGTGTGCTACCACTGAAGGTCCTGTTATTATATTTATTATTATTAAATTAAACTGAATAATAAACAGAATAGCATTCAGAATATTAATTAATGGATGATAATACACTTAAGAACTTTCTATCACACACTTGCTTATTAATGGGGTGGATGGCAGGTGCCGGCCATCTCGTTAGCGTACGAGGCACCGGAGTCGGACATTATGAAACGCCAGCCACGCGACCCTTACAGAGACAATTTAGTCAACCGAAGGTGGGTGTCTTTGTTAACCCACCCGAAAGGCACATTAGAAGCCGATAATGTTTTTTTTTTTTTTTCTTATTCATGAAATTGCTGATATATTTTACATGAACAAAATAGTCGATTCAAGTCTAAATCATTCAGCATGAACTTTTAGATTCAATTTCAAATTCAACATGTCATAATTCATTTCATTTTTCATCTTAAACTCTGTGACAAACATTTTTTTAAAAATTTAATTATATTCTGCTCCGATTGATTGTTAAAAAAAAATACTAAAAATCCTCATGGGTTTAATCAATCGGTGCATAGTGTACTGAAGAAATATCTAGCAATTTTAGACACTTTAAACTGTGTGTACACATACAAGCTTATTCAAAACTAGATTTTTTTACCGATTTAATACTTGACATTCAATATCATCACATTTAGTCATCAATAATTACACACTGTCATTTTTTATTAGATAATTAGTTAGATGATACAGCACGGCACATTTGCCATCTAGGGTGTTAGTGTCAGGAATGCTGAATGGCCTTTACTTTTAGTCTTTTTAGATGATCACAGCTAAAGATGCATTATTATTTTTATTAAATTTTTTTATTAATTTTATTTAAAATCAATTTAAAAAACAATAATTTAAAAATTAGCAATCACATTAGCCGTCTCAGACTGGATGGAGTTTTAAGTGTTTTTTAAGTGTGTCAAGCGCTGAAAAGAAGGAAAAATCCAAATATGTAACTCATGTTATATTAATTACTATTTATTATTTAATTTTAAAATAAAAAATACTTTCCTTTCACTTTATTATTATTATTATTATTTCTGAATTCTGCCACTCTATTTTATTTACAAAGCACTGGTTTAAACTCACTGTGCTTCAAATGAGAGTAAATAATGAAATACTGTGCGTAGATATGTGACTAGAGCTCACGGATGCATCAATAGAATCCGTGAAGTGCTTTTAAATTTAATGCTTGTACTCATTAGCTCTGCTATCATCTTCCATTAGGTGTATTGTTGCATGCGCTTACTAAATCATGCTTTTACCACAAATCCATTAAAATTATGGCCTTTTGCTTTAAACGAGTGGTAAGTAATAGCATGCCACCTTACTGAAGCAACTCTCTGCTAAACTAACAAGTATGCGACTGAAATAATAAGTCTACTCGAGTTAAAGCTCACCTGCAACTAAACACCGCGGTTTTATAAAATTAGAGTATTGAGTAATCCCAACGATAAATAGGCTAGAGGATTAACCTTTAGCGTCGTTGGAATCGCTAGATGCTACTGTAATAAATAACTTTTTTTAGTTATTTTTTTTTTTTTTAACGCTAATTCATGCAAACTAAAAAGTGTTTTTATCGTCCAGGCTTATCTCGATGGCGTACGGACAAATTGGTATGATCCAAGCAGCTGCTGGATTCTTCGTGTACTTCGTTATCATGGCTGAGAATGGTTTCCTTCCACGGGATCTCTTCGGTATCAGAAAAATGTGGGATTCTAAAGCCATCAATGATTTGAAGGACAGTTATGGCCAGGAATGGGTAAATATTATCTAAAAAAATTAATTTATTAATTATGAAAAATTAAATTAATTTATAATTTTTTATTTCAGACCTACAAAGATCGTAAAGCACTAGAATTTACCTGCCACACCGCTTTCTTCGTGTCAATTGTAATTGTACAGTGGGCTGATTTGATCGTTTGTAAGACACGTAGAAATTCAATTGTTCATCAAGGAATGAGAAACTGGGCCTTGAATTTCGGAATTGTCTTCGAGACAGCCCTCGCAGCTTTCCTAAGTTACACACCTGGAATGGACAAAGGTCTTCGTATGTACCCACTCAAGTAAGTATTCCTTGAAAATAAAAATGTGTAAAGTTTAATTAATTTTTTAAGGAAAATTAAGTTTGCCGACATTTAAAAATTTTTTTTATTGACAAAATTATTATAAAAATAAAATTTCAATGAGTAAAAAAATTGAAAAACTATAATTGCAATTTTTAAAAAATATTTTTTAATTCTAATTTAATAAATGAAAAATAGTCAAAAAATTAAAAATTTCGGCTAACTTTAGTATTATAATTTTATAAAAATTAAGTTAGCCGAGATCTAAAAATATTTGTAATTTTTTTTTTTTTTTATTGAAAAAATTATTAAAAAAATATTTCAATTTGTAAAAAACTACAAGTTAAATTTAAAAAAAAAATTTTTTTAGTTCTAATTTGATAAGAGAAAAAAAAGTTAAAAACGTCGGCTAACTTTTAGGATTATAATTTTATGAAAATTAAGTTAGCCGACATCTAAAAATTTTTATAATTTTGTTTTTATTGAAAAAATTATTACAAAAAAATAAAAAAAAATTTTTATTTGTAAAAAACTATAAGTTCAATTTTAAAAAAAAAATTTTTTAGTTCTAATTTGATAAGAGAAAAAAAATTAAAAACGTCGGCTAACTTTAGTATTATAATTTTTTAATCAATTTATTGGAATTTGAGTATTAATTATAAAAATTAAAATTATTAGATTCGTGTGGTGGTTACCAGCAATTCCATTCATGTTGGCCATCTTCATCTACGATGAAACGAGACGATTCTACCTCCGCCGGAACCCAGGTGGATGGTTGGAGCAAGAAACTTACTATTAAACGGTCATGTACAGCGAGACGCATACCCACGCGGAAACACGTAATAATAATAAAAAAAGGAAAAGTAATAATAATAAAGGAAATAACGGAAGATCTAAAATCACTCTCATACATACAACACATGTTATTATAATACGGGGCGTGCTACTATATCGATCCGTACTGTCGCGATGGAGGCTGGAGATGTGCTTCGTTTGCTAAATCACATGGCTCTAGGATCACTCGCAACTCTAACGAGACCGGATAAGTGGTACGAACAGTATGATTATAAAACACCATCAACATCATCAACATCAACATCAACATCTTCATTAAAAACAGCTATAACTATAATTACAATAACTACAACAACAACAACAACAACAAACATATTACCAACACTTGGAAGAATCCAACGAGCCGAGTATGGACGGTTCGTCGAATTCGTCTACCCGGCACGCTCCGACGACTAGTTACTTACACGTGATAGGAATCTCTAGTAGCCGTATTTAAATCAGAGGATGTGCGCCGTCGAGATCTTGAGATTGTTCACAGTTGAGCCATAGAAAAATATTTAAAATAAAAAAAAATCTATTGAATATAATAATACTAAATAATAAAAAATAAAAAAGCACTGGTGGATTTAATTACACAATAATAACTACAGAACGTGGAAATGAGTCACTGCCCTTAATTCAAAATTGTCGAATGAGTTCCGACATTGAGTAATAATAAATTTTTATTATTAATGGGCAATGCCGGGGATTAAGTTAATGAAGCGTGCATCCAGCCGGAAAGATACTGATGATATAAACGACCAATAGATATATCTATATAAATATATGTATATGTAAAAAAAACACAGTGTGAGTATATATGATGAGCTTTCACGTGATCAAGAAACAAAGTCGGGTTTGACGGGCCTAAAAAGTTATTAAAAAAAAAAAAAAAAACAAATTGTAGATCGTAGAATGAAATTTAAAGAATTAATTGAACAATAATGGATAAGCGGGGTAAGCTGACCGTGATATATGTTATAATTTAAAAAATAAAATATATAATTGAAACATGCATCGAAACTGACAGTGTTTTAACTTATGGTGACATTAATCGTCAGTCTCGTGGGCATGCTTCGATTTAATTTACTTATTCAAAATTCAATCAAGTATACAACGTTAAATTTGATCAATATGAGAAAAAAAAAATATTAATTTTTAAAAATAATAAATAATATATTTATTATTATTATGATTATTATTACTATTATTAAAAATAAAATGCGGTCACCGCAAATGAAGAGATATATAATTATTAATTATTAATTATTGATTATTATTATTATTATTAATTATTATTATATCTAGATGTCTTGTGATATCAGGGGAATCTATAGACCTGTTAATTAGCGATTTATTATTTTCAAAAATCATAAATAAATAATAATAATAATAATGTACCTTAGAATTGGCATGCTTTAATATTTAAAAAGTAAAATGTAAAAGAAAAATTACACAAGGATGAATAGACAATTAAAATGATATAATTGCTAAAGTGAAAGATAATAACTATTAAAAGTTTGCAGGATATTTATAAATGTCAAATTCTCTTTATATTAAGCTCTATTGATTAATTAATTATTTATGAATATAAAATAAAAAATTATAACAAACAGTACCTAGATCGGCACGCCCTATAGAAAATTGATTTTTAAAAAATTATTTTAAAAGAAAGAGGATCCAGCTAAGTACAGATTTATGGTATTGAGCGTCGTCAGATAAAAGTATACACATAACACCACAATTCAGATCGCGTCACGTTATTATTCAATAAAACTTAAGTGAAAATGGTATCAAAAGATCACTTTTGTTGAAGAACGAAGAGATAAGAGGGTCGTCAAAAAAAAAAAAACAAACTAAACAGCGATTTTAAAAATAATTAAAAAAAAAACCACAATAGCATTAAAAAAAAAAAAAAAAAAACGAATCCATCGATGCGCGTGCTCGTAGATAAGCCATCAGTATAATTAGAAATTGTAATAAAATAAATAATAATGACAACAACCATTCACTTATAAGTTTATGAAGTAGTAAAGTGAGATAAGGATAGTTTCTTCTGTCTGGGCTTTATGACACCCATGAGAAACGGCAAACAGAGTTTTCAGTGTGAGCTAGAGTTAGGACACGGCAAAGGTGAATTATTTAAAAATTTAATAAAAACAATAAATAGTACACGCGAAGACGTAGATGTAGGATATTACAGTAACAAAAGTAAAGGGAAAATACTAATTAAAAAAAAAAAAAAAAAAATTAAAAAAAAAATAACATTACAAATTTATTAAAATTAAAAACTAGCAGGTGAATGGAAGTAATGCATTCTCATGTAGGTTACAAAAAATAATGAAATAATAACCAAGTAAATATATAAATATATAAATAAATATAAAGCATTATTAATTCTTCTAGGTTTATTTTTGTTTTGATAGTTATATAAAATGCAAAGCGAGAAAGCTCGCTTTTAAAATAAATTATTACCCCGGTACGCTGAACGCCCTGTTATCAGCCGACGGCATGTCTTATCAAAAGAAAAATAACAAACTATATAAATGTATAAATAATAAAGTTAATGAAATAAAAGATATTAATTGCGAGCCCTTTACACAAAGTGACTTAAATACCTGCTACGCGCGACCCTCTCGCTCAAATAATAAAAACAAATATAAAGTTTGAGGTTTTTAAAATAAAATAAAGTTTATTAAAAAAAGATACCTATTTATCATCAATATGAATAATAACGATTATTTTATTTGACGCGACTGCTGCTGTATTATCAGAGTTTAAATTAAACGGTGAGAAGCGCTCCGGCAGTTCGGTCCCGAATAAATGCCCAAAGTGTTCATAATTGAGAGCCATAAGTACACTATCATTATTCAACACAATCATATGTATACTTTATGTTATTACACACACACACATACATACTTACACAGTTACACTTACACAAAATCATTGTATTATTTAAATATATATTGACAAAAAATCATTACACATTAAGAGCACAATCAACACTGATAAATTCCGTAATGTATTTAGAGTATTGAACGCGTTTTAATAATTACTCTCGTCCAATCGCTTTCGGTGGCTGTTTTTTTTTTTTTATTTCTTCTTTTTTTCCGCTTACCGCTCAATAATTAAAAAACAAAACTTTAATTAAAAATAAAACGTTAATTAGCGCTAGGAATGACGCAGACTTTTCGACATCTCCATATATTATTGTCGTTAAAAATTTGTCTTGAGGACTGCGTGAATTTCCCGCCGCGTAATTACGAGCTATAATTATTATTTTTTTTTTAATTTATTAATAATTCCTGTGTAATGTTTGAGAGAAGAAAAAAAAACGGTGGCCAGAAAGTTAGACCGTGGTTTTAATTAACGGGGATGAGATTTATTGAAGAATTGTTCTTGTTGATGCGTGGGGTATGTTAGTAATCAACAATTAAAAAATCATACGTGCTGTTATAACTTGAATTGATAATTAATAATTGTAATATTATTTATTATTTATTATTGATTATACGGCACGGGTGAAAAGACTCACTGTACGATTTATTAATCGATAAATAATCGTGAGAATGTGATTAATAAATTTAACGATTTAATAAAATAAAATAAATTGATGAATAATAAATATTAATGATGTTGAAACGGTGGTCAACAGGGTGTTCCGTGCCGGGGGGACGTAGAAGTCCATTGAAAATTGATTAAAAAAAAGATTAAAAAAATCTAAAAAAAAAAAATAAAATGCTTTGCCGTCGTGCGCCGCCTCACTTTAGGTTAATAATTTAAATATTAACGATAATATAATAAATAATAATTATTATAATACAATATATGTTATTACAATAAGATATTACTAGATGTAATTATTATATATGAATTAGTCTAGATCGTGTTGTTGAAGAAAAAGTATGTATAAGATAACTAAAAAAATTACAAAAAGAAATGGAATGAGCAAGATATAAAATAGAACAAAAAAAAATAATTATTATTATTATTATTATAATAATGAAGTATAAACAAATTCACAATATAAAGGAATAAGATTCGGTCTAAGACCAATAATCCGAAGCGGAATGAGTGGATACGAATCACTGTTCATTTTTAGAATTTATAAAAATTTTATAATATTATTTGTCATTGATATTTTGTCATTTTAATTCGTCTTGTATTTAAATTTGTCTCTTTTAGTGTTTATATAAACAAAAAAACAAAAACAAATTTTTTTAACGCTGTTTGACATCTTTTTTTTTTTTTTTTTTTGGATAAATTATGTCACTATTGTAAGAAAATACTAAGAGTGTGAGCGAATAATAATTAATTATGTATAATTGTGAATTTGCACGAATCTAGTGTGCTTGTGAAGAATTTTTTGTTAAATTTTAAATATGTTCTTATTTTTGTTTTATTTTTTTTTTTTTTTTTTATAAATATATAAATATATATTATTGCATAATTGAAGGGATGAGAAGAAAAGTATAAATGAGTAAATTTAAAATTTAATGTCAGTTGTATATTTTTTGTTTTTGAAAAAAAAAATTATACTCTTTGAAAAAGCCATATAAAAACGTTGTTTAAAATCACTTATACTCTTTTCTTTCCCGAAATCCCTTTAATTATCAATAAAAGAGATTTTAACAAGTATTAATTAATAAATTATTTTCTTCTGTTATAATTAGTATTATAATTTTTGAAGATAATAAAATACAATAATAATTAATATTAAATAGTAAATATAAATATTTTAATGGATATGTCATTTGCATCAACTCAGTCCGCTAAGTGATTAAATTATTGAATGATTAATATGATAAAAAAAGAAAAAAATTGAAAAAAAAAAAAAATGAATAATAAATAAATTGAATAATGTTTTATTAATAATGTAAATATTTTAAATAAATAGACGACGGACATAAAAATTATGCGTGATTGGGGACCCAGTGAGTCGGTTTTTGATCCAATCGATAAATCGACTCTTGTATTATTATTACGATGGGTCCTTTGCTCTTTTTGCATTTTTTGTTTTGCTTTACACGTGTATGTACATCATTATACTTACACATTACACATAATATGACAATGAACGTTAACGTTAGTATTAAAAAAAGCCAACATCACCTAACGAGCTTTATTAATTGGCCGATAAAATGCCCAACAATCACTCGGTGTGCCCACTATTAATTATTTAATTATTATTAACGTTTAACACTAATCAAAAATAAGTTATAATAATTACAACAAGTATATATGTATTACCGAAATTAATAACGTGAGATAGAGAAATAAAACTCGTACACATGCATACACAAAGAAGAAATATACGCGATGATATTGAAATAAAATAAAAATAACAAACACACACATGCTCACCGCTCTACTCTATATCTGTAATACCTTTTTCTGATTGACAATTCCTTTCGTATGATTAATTAATAAGTTTTGTTTTCACTCATGAAATATATTAAGGAGATAAAAAATGAATAAAAAATAATAAAAAAAAATAAAAAAAAAAACGAAAGACATTGTCCAACCCAAGTGTCACTTTTGATGTTAAATAAAAAAATACATAATTAATAAAAAGTTGTGATTCCTGTTGTACTAAATTTGACCTTATTTTCATTAAATTGTAACTCTGCTTTCATTTATTTATTTCATTTTCTTTTTTATTTAACATTATCGAGCGTCATATTTATTTAAAAATGATATTTTTATTATTATTTTTAATTATTTGTATGTGCGATATAATATTTTTTCTATTATATTTATTAGATTAATATATATTAATATAATGATAATATAAACAAAAAATAATAATACTATTACCAAATCCATTTCTTTTTACAATATTATAAATATAAGGTTTAAAATATTTGCTAATTTTAATTTATGAATTTAAATAAATAAGTATTCAATTATTGATAGATAAAAATAATACGGTATTTTATTTATTGTTTAGTTTTTTTTATTATTTTTTAATACCCCAGTTCCTTATTATTAAATATATACTTCAGAGCTTTGAAGAAATGCACTTGTTTAATTTATTTTTTTTTTATTATTTAGCTTACAATAAGTTCAATTAAATAAATCAATTTAATTAAAAAAATTATAAGTGATAAAGATCTACAAATATAAAGAACAAATTTCATTTTAATTTATTTGATATTTAGTTTTTTAATTTTTGCCGCCTTGGCGCCATCTTAAGTCACGTGACATTTATTATTATTTTTTTTTTTTTAGTACACAGTATCCATGTGTATTATTTGTTGACATATTAGAGTTAATAAATAAGTAATTTAATAAAATAAAAATAAATATGTCTTCGGATATAGAAGAAACTCCTTTCTTAGAAGATGAAGAAGTAAGTTTTTATTTTTATAATATTTTTATATTTATTTACAAATAAATAATTCACTAGAGTTAACCTTTAAAAATTTTTTTATAAATGTATAATATTATTTTAATTAAAATAAATTTCAGGCGGAATTAATTAAAGAAGTTTCGCGAATGAACCCAGAAGAATTGCGAAAATTAAAAAATGAATTAGGAACTAAAATTTTCAATAAAATAATTCAAAAAAAGAACTCTACAAAGCCTAGTGGTAAGTATCGTGTTCCTCAACCCAGAGCTCGGAATGACGATGATCGACCTGTCGAAGTATCAGCTAAGAGAAAAGTACCACCGCTAATGAATGTGGTACCTGTGAAGAAACCCGTCGCCAGAGATCCTAGATTTGATAAACTCTGCGGAGAATTTAATGAAAGAGCGTTTAAGAAATCCTACAGTTTTGTCAGTCAGCTGAAAGAGAATGACATTAAAGCACTGAAGAAAGAGTTGAAAGTTTCCAAAAATCCTGAAGAAATAAAAAAAATTAAATTTTTAATCCAGAGGTTAGAGAATCAGCTGAGAGAAGAACGTAAGGTACAGAAACATAAGGAAGCAGAAGAGGCTGAGAAAAAACAAATTGCTGAAGCTATTAAGAGAGGAGAGCAACCTGTTTTCAGAAAAAAATGTAAGTAATCATATATTTATATATAATTATACAAATAATTATTATGAAACTAAAGTTAGCTGATAAGTGTCAATTTTTTGGATTTTTACAACAAATAAATTACTAATAAAAAAAAGACAATAATAAATTTTTTTATCAAAAAATTATTTTTTAAAATTGCATTTTTAATTTTTTAAAATTTCTACATGTCAATTTTTTTTGCCATAATTTATTTGTTCTTAAAATTCTTAAAATTATTAAATAAAATTTTTTTGACATCTACCAGTGGAATTTTTTTAGAAAATTATTATTTTAATAATTTATTTGCTTAAAAAAATCCTAAAAATCATCAGATGTCAGCTGACTTCAGTATTATTATTTATTTTTGTTAATTTTTAGCTGAGAAGAAAATCATTGATCTGGTTTCACAATACGAAGAGTTGAAGAGTTCCGGTAAATTACAGAAACATATAGAAAGGTTGAAGAAGAAACGACTTAGTAAAGATAGAAAGAAAGGATTAAGTCATGATAATAATGAAGATAATGATGATGATGAATAAATGTAAATTTTATATTGCAAAGTGTTAAAAAAAAATTTTTTTTTATTATAATAAATCAAAGAATATAATTTATTATTTATAAAATAAAAAATTTAGACTATTTATTTAACATGACATAAAAATTATTTTGCTCTATTTTTTTAGCTGAAACAAAATAGAAAATACTTGAGTCATTTTTAATCACAAGATAACAGCAGGAAATACACACACATATAATAACAAATACCTATAAATAACAAAATTTTTCTAACATACTTTATTGAACGTTTAAAAAACTGCGCGGACTATAAAAAAAGAGCACGAAGAGCACATGAGAAGTCACGTGGTGCCATCGGTTGGTTATTCTCAGAATACATAAACCGTTGTACGCGTAGAGTAGTTTATCTGATACATTTAAACTCCAAGGGCGAAATATTTTTGCTCCGTTAGTGACTTACTGATGTCAGTATAAAGTATATACTAGTTAATAAAAGACGCCTATTTCACCTATATAAATTGCTATATAGATTATAAAACCAACTTACCAGCAATGTCTTTTTGATTTTTGATACTCATCATTTTGATGTACAATACACTTTAGTTTAATAAACTAAAGCAGAACAAAATGTCTGTAAATTTAACTAAAAATAACGATTCTCTAGTGGCTGCCTGGAAGAGTGTCGTCGATGACAAGTCATCAACCAACTGGTAATATTTAGTATTTAATTTCACTAATATTTATAATTTAATTTAATTTTATTGTAATAAATTTATATATAGGGCGGTGTTTGGATACGAAGGAGGATCAAATAATTTAAAAGTTGTCGGAACAGGAGACCGAGGTCTCCAGCAAATGATCGACGAATTAAACAGCGGAGAAATTCAGTACGCATTTTGCCGTGTCATTGACACTAAAACCAGTTTGCCAAAATGTCTGTTGATAAATTGGCAAGGAGAAGGCGCGCCGATAGTAAGAAAGGGAACGTGTGCCAACCACATTAGAGACATCGAAAGACTGCTGAAAGGTGCTCATATAACTTTAAACGCCAGGTCGGAAGATGACGTTGAGATAGACTTCATAATGGAGCAGCTGGCCAAAGCAACCGGCTCGACTTACAAGTTCCGTGAGCCTCGAGGTAAGGACGTGGGTAATTCTGGACCAGTTGGTACTACTTACAAGCGCGTTATTCCGGAGCAAGAGATCAACGCCACAGAGCGAGATGAGTTCTGGCAGAAAGAAGAAATGGAAGAGAAAGCTCGTGTTGCTGAAGAGAAACGTCGTCTAGACAAAGAACGCCAGCAGTTGGAGCTAGAAACTCGATCTAGAGAAGAACAGCAGAGCAAATTGCGAGAACAGGCTGCTGCTAAACTGCCGATTAGCCAACGAACTCAAATAAAGTCTGAACAACGCACTCAGGAGATTAAGAATTTAAGGAACCAACAGCTAGCTACTGCCGTTCAGCAAAACGGTTCAGATTCTGATGAAGAACACAAGTCTCGCAGTGAAGAGTTGCGCCGGCTGAGAAGTACTGAGACCCAGCAATTGATTGCTCAGCGTACTATCAATGCGCGTGCGGTTTTTGAACAAAATTCAGCTGCTGGACAGATGAAAGCTGCTTTTGGGCATCAGTCAACTCCTAATTCTAAGTCTGTCGTTAAAGAACCGGTTAAGATTGTCAAGAAAGTTGTTGATGCTCCTAAAGAGAAGGAAGTTGAACTGGTATCAACTCCACCAGCACCAGCTCCGGTTCCAGCTCAAACTCCAGCACCAGTGCCTTCGGAACCAGCACTGCCAAAAGTAGAAGCTGTTAAAGAGGTTCTAAATGTTGAACCTAGTCCACTGGAGACTAAAGACATTCTTAATCATGTACATCAGCAGCAGCAACAGCAGCAGCAGCAGCTGCATGAAGATACCCACGCTTATATAATGAAGGAAGTTGAACTGGAAAGTAATCAGCCCCTTGAAGCCATCGAAGCGGAACTTTTCAACCAATTAAACGCTGAGAGCGAGTCTTACTTATTCTTTGATCCTAACAATGAAGGCATGAAAGCACGTGCCTTGTATGACTACCAGGCGGCCGATGACACTGAAATTACTTTTGATCCTGGTGATATTATAACCCACATTGACGCTATCGACGAGGGATGGTGGCAGGGACTCGGTCCTGATGGCACTTACGGTCTCTTTCCTGCTAATTATGTTGAGGTCATTGATTACGCTAATACTTGATAGACTTTAATTGATTGTTGTTACGTTAATTCATTCTAATTCCATGGATTTGTAATTGATGATTTATTAATCATTTTAATATTGATGTATATCTTAAGCAATGACTTGGTAGGTATTTACAAAAATCTCCCGGATTTTATTGGACATTTAAAAGACAGAAAATTTATTTTTCAGTATTGTAAATTATTTTTTGGTTTTTGATTATTATTTTTTATTAGTGCAATTATGGAATTGGTAATACAGTCGTCCGTAAATATATGTCATTTATATTAATTTTTTAATAATTATCAATTTTATTTTTTGCCTTAAATAATGTGTACTTATATTTTAAGTAATTTAAAAATTGACTGAAAAATAATTAAAAATTTGCACGTTTGAATTGAATTTAAACAAATAATTGTCATATCGGTTGAAAATATTATGTAATAATAATAATTAATAATAATGAATCCCGGAAAAAATTTTTAAGTTATGAAAAATTCATATTATTTTTTTAAAATTATTATAAAATAAAAATAACAATTTTTTTTAACAAAAAATGAAGCTATCATTCTCGGGTCGCTTGTTTTTTTAGGAAAATTCTGGGTTATTATTATTATTATTATTTTTATAATTTTTATTTTATAATAATTTTAATGAAATAATATGAATTTTTCATCATTTAAAAATTTTTTTCCGTTTTATAATATTTTTTCCGATTACCAATAAAAATAATAATTAAAATTAAATTACCGACAGTGAGTAGCTTCATATTTGCAATTATTGTTGTAATAATACTTCCAAAATAATCTAATTGCACGTTTATATAATTAAAAAAAAAAAAAAAAAAAAATAACAATAGTTCTAGTCCAAGTCAATGAGATTTATTAAAAAATTTGTCACAAATATTACTCCGTAATTATTGCATTTACAAAAAAAAATGATGAGTAATAATAGTAATAAAAAAAACATGACACAGATCTCAAAGATGTAATTACAGTATACATTGTCATTTATTCGGTAAAATAATAAACTATAAAAGCAATGACATAATCGGTGGAGATTTAAAATAAAGAGAAAAAAAATAATTCGTGGTAATGAATTTTTTTATTCAGTATTTGTTGAAAAAAAAAAAAAATAAAATATTAGTGTTTAATTTACAGTTTTTTTTAATTATCCAAATATCATATTTATCTTCTGTAGCCGGCATTTTCATTTGGAGGTCCTCCTGCGGTATTCGCATGACTGAGGAAAGCCAGATGTCCTTTAGGGCATTTATTTGCATAATGACCTTTGGTCCCACACTTGTAACAAGTAACTTCTTCCAGAGGTTTTTGAGGTCCACGTGGAGGAGGTCCATTGTGCATATTCATAAAATGCGGTGGAGGCCCACCTTCCTCTTGCCTCATCTGCGTATCTCTAACTTCTTGCGGCATTTTGTTACAATAAATGGCTTTGTGGCCACTTTCGCCGCAGAAGTGACAAGTGATCATTACTTTTTTTCCTTCTTTTGGCGCTAAGTCTTGCAGAGCCGGTAATTCAAATCTTGGGCTGTAATAAATTATTAATTAGTAATTTATAATCTTTTTAATGTCAGTAAATTAATAAAAAAAAAAAAAGACCATTCGGCATCCGCCAAAATGGAAGGTAGATTTCATATAATCCATGATTTTAATAACAATATTATAAATAATTAGAACTGATTTAAATGACATTCAACTTCTTACATTTTTGTTGTAATTGTTGAAAAGTAAATTTATTATAGGTTAAATTAAATAAATTAAAGAGAATTTCATAAGCTTTGAAATGAAATGCAGAAAAACGAACTATCACTTCTTTCAATGAAAAGGTATTCCCTAGTAAAGTCACCAAACACGTGATTTTTTTAATTTTCAAAAATTTTAAATGACTGCCATTTCTAAACTATTCGATGGAATTAGTTCATTTTTGAATAATTTCAAGTTAATTGTCTATAGAATAAGTCTATCAAGTTTCATGAAGATTCATTAAGAATTGTAGGACTTATCGTGTCCATAAGCCACACGTTATATTATATAAATATATACACATATGTATAAATTTCCAAACCAATGTTATTTTTATAAGCCTTACTCGACTAAATAATTAACATAGTAACGAAATTCTATGTGAATTTTGACACAAGGGCCAATGCAGTAGATATATTTTATGAAATCTACCTAAAAATTTAATATACTTACTGCATAAATTTACAAGTAGATCCTTCTGGACAGAAACCAGCCAAATATGCCATGCATAAAACTCTCCTAACATGTCGATGACGACATTGAGGACCATGTCTACAAAAACCTCGGTCATACCAAGGACAGTCACGTACTTTTGTCTCAGGATCAATGTGTAAAAACGGACATTCCTTATTGTGACAAGCATCTATATTAAAAATTAAATTCATTAATTAAAATATAAATTTATTTGACTTGTTATGCCATACATGAAAAAAAAAAAAAAATCAATCACTTACTGAATCTTGAATAAAAATAACACTCAGGCATTTTTGACATGTCGTATTCGTGAAGAAACTCGCACTGGTCACCCTTTTTACACAACCCTCTGAGCCAATGCTTGCACACAATAGTTCTGTCACCTCTTACGTGTCTGAAAGGGCACGATGGACCCTTGGTACAAGTACCCCGGGGATAAAATTGACATACCGCTGCGATGGACTCTAAAAATAAGCAATTAAATAAGTTTATTAATAAAAAGTTCAAAAATTCAAAACTCATCAGCAAACAAACAAACTTACTGTCCATGCCGGCAAACGGCAACGGTAAAGCTCCATACTGCTCATCCAAGGCAATTTCGATGTCGAATTTTATAGTTCCAACGTCCGTCAATACTTCCATTATTGTTTAGAATAATTTAATTGATAACTGAAACTGAAATAATAATTGTCATTTACATTCAGTATATGTATGAAAATAAATTTAGCAGATATCTAAGAATTTTATAAAATTAAAGTTAGCTGTCACTACAATTTTTTTATTTTATTTAACAAAAAAATTTGTTCCAAAAAATTATTTTTAAAAAATTACATTTTTAATTTTTTAAAAATTTCTACATGTCAATTTTTTTTGCCATAATTTATTTGTTATAAAATTCTTAAAATTATTAAATATCTGCTAAATTAATTTTCATAAGAATTTTTCTTATTGAAAAATTTATAACAAAAAAAATTTTTTTTTTTAATTTCACTTGTAGAAAATTTGAAAAAAAAAATAAGAGCAATTTTTTTAGTTTTAATTTAATTAATAAAAACAATTTTTATACGGCTGCTAATTTTTTCAATATCAAATCAAGTATTTATAGGTTAACTTCTTAGTTTTACCTTAATTGTTGCTTTATCTACTCACTATTTTATGCAGTTACTTCAAGCACAACCGTTTGACAATGTTCTGTTGGAGCGCAATATTTTCATGTGAAAATATAGATTTATTACAAATAATAACACAAGTACAACAATTACTTTTTATTTCAATAATATTTTTTGATATATTTCCCTGTAAGTATTTAAATATACATATTCCATTTTCACGCTGATCGCCGGTGGCGTCGAGGTACATTTTGGTCTTTTAACAATTTTATACCGCCATCTACTGGCAAGAATATAAATTGCCATAACAAAATATGTCATCCGTCGGAAAGATCATTTTCACTATTATTAATCAGCTCCAAAAGTCCAAAAGTCCAAAAGTGAGCGCTGTAGATAAAAACATAAAAATTGCATTCGTCTGATACCGCCGCGGCGGTATATAGACGGTTTGTCATTATTGTATACACATACGAACATACTTATACTCATTGCGGCAACAAACAACAATGTAGTAGTCAGACATGAATACACATATATATATATATATATATATATATATATATATATCAGGGTGTGACTTGATCAAGATTCGCTTACAAGGAGTTCGCCGTGTGTACTCAGTAAATATTACAACATACAAGTATTTGTATTAAAAAAAGAGAAGAGAAAAAAAAAAATTAACGCCAGCTCACCTCGCCCGTAACCGTTAGAAAAAAACAGTTCCGTTATCATCATCATCATCATCATCATCATCATCATCATCATCATTATTAATAAATTCATTATAATATTTTTATTATTAACAGATAATTTTATAACTATTAATTATTATTTCTAATATAATTTTCAGTTAAGTGGTTTCGGATAATTGTCAATAAAAAAAAAACAGCTCGCCGGCTGTTTAATCACCGTGTGTTTTAATTGCATACAAGACGATTATTGCACTGCTGCAAAACGTACTGGTTTATGTTAAACATATGTAGCTATTATAGCTTATATATACATACAAAAGATAGATTTGCGCATACAAGAAAGATAGAGAAGACATTTTCGCGCCGATACGACCACCCTATACTGCTGCAAGCTGGTTCATCATGATATATTCCATACATATAATAGTGCATTATTCCATGGAACTAATATTGAAAAACCGGCTAATATTTAACCAGTTATTTTTGCTGTTAAAAAGTTTTTAACTTAAAAATTTATTGAATTAAATTATTAATTAAACATCGGTGATTTAGTTAAAAGTGTTAAGACAGTAGACTTAAGTCATTATAGCAACGGGAATTTGGTGGTAAAATTTATTCGCTACTAGGAGATCGTCTACCACACGGGTATGTCGACCATGCGCTCTCGTTTTTCCTTTTTAACAAATCCTAATATATCTATATATATATATATATATATATATATATATATACCTAAATGTTCTTCTCTGCCGTCACATTTTAGTCAGTCCAGTCAGTAAAAGTGCTTCTGCTAGAACGTCGCTAAGAAATTTCTTTAAATAGTCTAACTATAATTGTTCGAAATCCTCCTCACCAACACCAACTAAATTACACTGTAATTTTACTCATAGGTATTCAAACTTAGAAAAAAAAAATAACTCCTACTAAATCGATCAAAAAAAATACATGTTATCTATTATCTGCATGTACAATTATCATTACATAGTTCACTGTAATTTTTTTGCTTATCACCTATCACTCATTTATTTTTTTTTCAAAGCTTAAATACTTAAATAACATCAATTATGAGAGTTAAAATTTTTTTTTAACGAAGTAATGAAAAAATTTAGTATGAGTAAGTCTTATTGATTATTTAGACTAATGATTAAATAATTGTTTTCAGATAAAAAAAAAATAACTCAAGATGTTGCAACTATCACCAGCGTACATGGAGCGGTTCCAGCCAAATTATTCTTATGTATTTGAATTTGAGAGAAAATTTGAGCATGAAAATACACGTGACTGGATGACAGATCATTGGAAGAATTCAGTTTACTTTGGTGCTATTTACTTGGTAGCAATATTTGCCGGGCGTCAATGGATGGCTAATAGACCTAAGTATGACCTAAGAGGATTACTGACTGTGTGGAATATTGCTCTGGCGATATTTTCAATAATGGGTGTTGTTAGGACTGTACCAGAGTTCTATCATGTGCTAAAAAACTACGGATTCTATCACAGTGTCTGTGTACCCAGGTACAGATTTATTATAATTTTATTCACACTTAATTTAAATTAAAGACTTAATGAATCCATGAATATGTTAACGTAGTTTTCCATAATATTTGTACGCACTTGCTAATTTTTTTTTTTATTCATTTAAATATTTTGTATAGTTGATAATGATAACATACAATAACATCCATTAGTTTTGTTTGTTAAATATATGTCACGGTTATTTTTATATACATATTTATACAACATATTTATCCAAAGTAAGTGTTATCTTTTTAATTAAATGAGCTTTGACGAAAAATCATAAGTTATAAAATAAGAGCTACTAGGAAACTGATAGCAATCATTACAAAAGTGTGCAATCATTACATAAGTAATAGATAATGATAAAAATAAATTCTTCTATTAGTATTTTGTGTTTAATTATTCTTATTGTCAAAAATATTCAATCAAGTAGCAATAAAAATATTCAAATATATAAAATACCTTTGACAAGTTTCAAAATAATCGTTATTGTTTTCTAATAAAAAAAAAAAAAAATATATTTCTTCTGAAATTTTAGCTCATTAATTATAAAAACTAATATAAGCTTGCGGTAAAAAAATAAACTTTACTTTTATATCTTAAATCGCAAGATTTTTGTGTCTAATTATTCTTATTGTCAAAAATATTAAATCAACTAGCAATAAAAATATTAAAATATAGAAAATGCCTTCGGCAAGTTTCGAAATAATAATAGTTATTGTTTTCTAATAAAAAAAAAAATATTTCCTCTGAACTTTTAGCTCATCAATTATAAAAATTAATATAAGCTTGCGGTAAAAAAAAAAAAAAATAAAAATAAACTTTGCTTTTATATTTTAATACAACAAATAATTAAACAGAGATGAGTTAGAAAGCTGAGAGTCAAAGAATCCTTTTAGGTAAAAAGTAAAAGTTTGAATGTCATTAAAAAAAATAAACAGAGATATACCCATTATATGTTTGTCCGGTAATAGTCTAAGCCCTGTTTTTATAGCCGTCATAAAAATGTAAAGAAGATGAGTATCTACACTGATGTTTACTTTGACATTGAGTTAATCGGTTATTTAATTAATGACTTGAAACTTTCATTGATCTATTTAAAATTAAATCTTCGACCAGTTAGCAGTACAATTAAAAAAGATAACAATTGTCATTGCTTACTGATAATGAACTCTACTACTTGAGCATGAATATAAATCAGTTCACACGCATTCCGGGTCATTAGGACATACCTTAACTTGCATATTTGCTGACAATTGTTTCAGTTTCATGTTCAACCGAGTGTCTGGTTTCTGGGTATGGATGTTTGTGCTGTCAAAATTACCGGAGCTGGGTGACACTCTGTTCATCGTGTTAAGAAAACAGCGGTTGATATTTCTCCACTGGTACCACCATATGACTGTGTTGATGTACGCGTGGTTCTCGTACGCGGAGTACTCAGCCCCAGCACGCTGGTTCGTCGTTGTGAATTACACTATCCATGCAATGATGTATACATACTACGCATTGAAAGCAATGCGGTACTCGCCGCCTACGTGGATTGCGATGATGATAACGACACTGCAAATAGCGCAAATGATTGTCGGATTTGCCATAACTATTTGGGTCTACCAAATGTATGTCTCACATGGTCAGCGTGAATGTCATATTACCATGACAAATATCCGCATCAGTGCTCTAATATACATCAGCTACTTGGTACTATTCGCAAAATTCTTCCGAGAGGCCTACATGACTAAAAGAAGTGCTTCTACGGATAAAAGTATCCACAAAAAAGCCCAGGACAGTAAAGAGTACAATCTCAATGGCAAGCTCAAGAGTAATTAAATTCTTATTATTGTTATTACTCTAATAACAGACAGTTTATTATTAAAAGGTTTATTCAGCACATCTAGAACCTTAAGTCTTAGGACTAAGCAAGCGCCTCGATTGACAAAGCTAACGTCAGCGAATTATTTAAAACTAGTTTGTATTTTATTTTTATTTTTAAAAAAATGGAACGCACTTAAAGCTACTTTGGAGAAAAAAAAAAAAAAAAATTATGCACTGGAACATCTCGGCAGTGATATGACAAATATATATTAAATGATCCAGGGCTTATTGCTCAATGTCGCAGCACAAATAAAATCAATGATCGTTAAAAAAAAGTGACAAAAGATTGATTATTATGATAAATAAATATTAACAAGTGTCAACTGTGAAAAGCGTATAAATGTTGATAGGAAAAACGTTTTATAAATTATTATTATTATTATTATTATTATTATTATTATTAATTGTCTGTAGTATGTAAAGAGATATATGTAAGTAATGTGGGCACTGAGAGACAGGTATTTAAAATGTTATCGTTTACTGAAAACCGGTCTCTGGTTTATCCGTTCTCTTTCTCGCTTAAAATCCTCGTGTCCGTATGTTTAACATCAACAACGGATTATCTTTCTCTATTGAGAGAGTCATCGACTGCTTATATTTTCCCTTCGTGTCACGGACTAAACATTTCTTTATTTTATACAGTTTAACCTACTTCCATGTGCTCGTGAGTGACCTCAACAAGTCTGAGAATAATAACGAAAAAAAATTACTGAAAAAATATTTGATTAATTTTTCTGTACCTTTAACATCATAAATATTTATAAATTTCAATTTGACAGTCCAATTGACTTATTAATATTTGCATTTATTATTTAGAGTTCATGATCTTCAATCAGATGTCGTATTTTCCGCATAACTACTTATTGGTATAATAATGATTAATTATAAACTCAAATGGTAATTTTATTACTCTTTGACAGATTTATAATTCAATTATGTCATCATCAAACGGTTTTTCTACTTCGATAAAAAAATACCTAGGTTAAAGACCGTTCAATAACACTATTAATTTATATTACTCTATTTTATTTTCATTTTTTTCTGGTAATATTAAATATGTAATAATGATATGAAAACACGTGTTACACATAATCTATTCCATAACTTATCTTATTATTTTAAGTAAAGATTATAACTAAATGTTTTTATTATATATCTGACGATTATTCCTTCTGTTTACCAATACGGTGACTCATTTGGCTTCCATCAACTGTATTCCAAGATATTATGTGTATAAAGTTACACACATAGTGTTAAAGTGTCTGAAAAAAATAAAAAAAAAAAAGCTTATGTCGGTAGCACAATTTTTTTTTTTTATCTCTATTATTCTTTATACTTATATTATACTGTATAAATTAAATCGTGGTCTTCGTTTTGTGTGTAACATTAATTATTATAAAACTATCGATCCAAATGCGTACATATAATTTATTGATAATAATTGAATTTTTAATGAACCGCTAGTGACGTACAAAAGCACGGATTTAAACACGAGGATATAAAATAAATTTTATTATTCATGAAAAAGAGAACGGACGGATTTTCCCTGCCCGGGAAAATTTTTTTTTTTTTTAATAATCGCACCATTAAAAATTATATTGCTGGATTTAATTTAATTACTTAAGATATTTTGAGATCTGTTTGTGTTTTTTATATACATATATTATTTATAAATAGTACAGGTATAAATTTGTAATGCAAATTTTTGTAAAATTATTCATTCAATTAATTGATGTGTAAAATTTTATTTTTAAAGCAATAGTCGAGGGAAGGTAATTGTAAATTGTGTAGGCTGAAAGTTCAAAAACTAACGGAGCCTTGAAATATACGATTAATATTTTAAACAATTGTAATAATAATGATAATTAATATTAATAATAATAATAGTCATGATTTTTATGATAATTATTATTATTAATTCTGAATTTGGTCATTGTGCTATTAGCTTATAAAATAATATGATGACCGCCCAAGTCAAGCGTTTCGAGCATTATTATATGTCTGCGAGTCATTTTAAATAAATATTAATGTGTATGTAAGTAATGTGTATGCGTAATTTTAAAGTGTATGTAAATGTATATGAATGAATAGAAGAAAAAAAAAAAAAAAAAAACAAGAAATAAAAAAGAGTGAGCAAGATAAAAATGCTCGTACGCAACTATTATTTTAAGTAATCATTTTTTAACGCTGTCAATACTGCAATTAATTTATATAAGGGTAATTCAATTAACGGGGTACATTTTGAGAAATTAGAATAGTTGAGGGCTTAGTACGGTCAGTAACTTACAATTAGAAGTAACATGTTTGAAAATTTAATTTCCCAGAATTGTTGAAAATAAATAATTAATTATCTAATTAATAATAAAATTTAGAAGCTGATGAGAGACGAGAGATAAAAGGGAGCTTACTTAAAATACTTAACGTTAAATGTTTGTAATTTTTGCGCAAATGTTAAAATATGATGTACTGCTTATTGTAGACCATGAACAATGTTTTAGATTGCGTGATTGAATAGAAAGAGACCTAATTAAATTTGTAAAAGTATTACATCTAAAGCGCGCAGGACGCGCCGCAAAGACTAATCGATATGCACTTGTGTTTGCAAAACTTAAAATTTATTTTCTAATTGTATAAGTATTTTGTGCTTAAGATTGTTATAATTATTGTTTTTATTTTTTTTTATTTATTTATTATTGTTTTAAAATCTCCGTCTCAAGTAAAATAATTCGGCAGCTCAGAGTTACTAGGGCTTTATTTTTTTATTTAAAATAAAACTAGCCTTTGTGATTGAATCTCAAGTCTCGAGTACTAAATTATTGATGTTAATACAGCCCAGTAGTTGCGTAATATTTCTCGATATTGATATTATATTATAACTGGTAATTTCTTTATGCGAAATACCTGAATTAACATATTGGGGTAAAAAATAATAAATATTGTCTCTGTAGAGGCGTATCATTTTTATCTCTTAATTATGACCATACGCATCTGGAATGTGTCGAAAAATTTTTGTAATTTAAATTAAAAGATAAAAAATAACAAAGTGTACGAAAATACTAATTGCTAGTACGATAAAATTTCGAGATTTAATATACTATCAGAAATATCACAATTCGAAAGGTTATTTGCACTCTTGTATTATGTTAATGCGAAAAATAAATAGGCAAACGTTATACAATGATCTAGTTAATAGCCAATAATATTAGATATTAAATTAAATTAATTTAAATAATAATAAAATAATATTTTTATTTATATTCTAAATGTACTTTGTGCTGTACATAGATTTGCTATCATTTCCTGATGTACAACATTATTATTTTTATTCAGTAATAAGATTTAATGCACGTCAATAATCATTATCTTTTTCTTTTATATTTAATAAGAATTTTTTTTTTTTCAATATTCAAACAATAAATAATTTTTTATCTTTAAATCATTCGTGTGCTTGCTTATAAAATTATGACAGCAAATGTCGTGTATTAGCTTTTGGCTGAATATATATGTTTATTTGTTTTTAGTAACTTCATTGAAATTCAACAATTTGTTTAAAAAATTGCCGGTTTTGAATTGTCCTTCTATTACGTAGGAATAATAAAAGTTTACAATATGGTCACCGAAATTTGTTTAAAGTCCAAGGTCTCCATGGTCAACCAGATGTTTTCCTCTTTTAACATAAATCTGATAATTTTCAGCACACGAATATCGCTATCGAGATAATTAACACTGGAAATTTTTTAATTTATTCATTTTTTTTTTTTTCAACTTTTTACTTCTCAAGTTTACTTTTATTCTTAATAATTGTCCAATGAATTAACATTGAGTAAGTGGACAGTAAATATTTAAAATAATACCATAAAAGTTTAATATTTATACATCTGCGTCCTCAGAATATTTAAAAATTTTTTTATTTTCCACAAAATTATTTTTAATTTAATAAAAACTGCGATTATTTTTTTTAAATCATAAAATTATTTTTCTCAGTTGGATTTTACATGCATGAAAATATTCACTCAGTTATTACTTTACTGATACGATAAGTAACTAGAAATTATATGAATCATTTGATATAATTGTATAAAAAAAATACCATTCAGTATAATTAGAAAGCTATTGAATCTCATAAGACACGAGATCTCTCTCAAATGTTTATGTAATAGTGTAATTATTTTCATGTGTACGGAATTTAACATTGCTTCATGTTTAACTGCTTACAAAAAAATAGATTTTTAATTATCTTCCGTAGTATCTTATAAACATTTCTACAAAAAAAATATATTTTAATCTATATTATTAAGAGAATAAGAAAAATTTTGTGTCCAGGATAGTCATATGATAAAATCGTTTTTTTTTTTTTAGTGAAATTTAGCGTTATTGCAAAATTCTTGACTTGAATTTGTGCCTTTTCAAGGTTTCATATCATTCTCACCGATAGTCAATTTATTATGATAACTATTTAGGTTGCATTCAAAAATTCTCTGTCTCTAGGTACATAATTAAGAAATGACCTTGTATCTTGAGAACTATTGACATTTTTAAAAATATAAGCTCATCCCGATGTTACACTCATCAAGACCTTTCATTTGAGTACCCACATCCATTTTTCATATATTTATATATATATATGTATATATGAAAAATATATGAAAATGCATGTGGGTACTCAAATGAAAGCTCTTGATGAGTGTAACATCAGGATGAGCTTATATCTTTAGAAACGTCAATAGTTAAGAAAGTACAGTGCAATTTAACAAAAGTCATTATTTAATGAAGTAAATTCTTTTATTTACCGAAATAAAAAAAAATTGTTTGTCTTATCTTCGCGAACTCTACTTAAAATAAATTTTTATGTATACTCGTAAAAATTTTTACTGTCACGTGAATAAATTATTCACATATAATAATTGAGTTTCCATTGACCCAAGCACAACTTATATTTACCGTTTCAAAAGATTAGATCATTATTGTTGTTATTTTACTTTTCGTGCTCGAAATTGTCTGATATGTTGTTTACATATTCTTTCGCTTGATTATCTCCAACAAATGCATCCTTTACAAAAAATATTTCATATTAAATAACGTTCTCCATGAGAACAGTAAACATCGCGTGTTAGCAATCATAAAAATCTGGAATGAAAATCCTATAAAATAAAAAAAACAATATTTATTTAAAGTCAGTACAACAATTTATAAAATTTAATTTAATAATTTAGATAATTGGTATAATTATTTGGTATCACTTGTACTTTCTTTGCCCCATTCTTCAGACACGTACTTCAAGAGATCATTAAGTCCCTCGAATTCGGTTCTGCTCTTAGGAGGATTATTTTTAGGAATCTGAGGCAAAAAAGATCCCATTTTCTGACGAAACTCCAGAGCGTTAGTGGCTCCAGAAAGTTTCCAGATGCCGTAGAACAGCAGACCGCACCCTGTAACAGCGTAAACAGTTCCTATACCCAGTGCTCTCATCGCCAGAGAAACACCGGCTTCGGATGCTCCTTTGACACCCACAACACCTTCTTGGAAATATTTTGGGTCTTGTTTTCTCATGCCAGCTACTGCTGTACCAAAACCTATCAGTGTTGAAATTCCTGTCACTGCGCTCAAGAATACTACCCCTAAAAAAATAATAAAATTAATTATAACTAGCAATCTTGCAGTCACTATGTGACTGCCGTGACTTGTGAACTATCAATAAATAATTATTTATTATTTATTAAATAATGACTTTTGTTAAATTGCACTGTACTTTTTTACCTATTGACGTTTTTAAAGATATAAGCTCATCCCGATGTTACACTCATCAAGAGCTTTTATTTGAGTACCCACATGCATTTTCATATATTTTTCATATATACATATATATATAATATATATGAAATATATGAAAAATTGATGTGGGTACTCAAATGAAAGGTCTCGATGAGTGTAATGTCGAGATGAGCTTATATTTCCGAAAATATAATTATTTGGAAAGATAGCAAAGTCTATTCTTAATTATTGACATTTCTTAAGATATAAGCTCATCCTGATGTTACACTCATCAAGAGCTTTCATTTGAGTACCCACATCGATTTTTTATATATTTATATGTATTATATATATGTATATATGAAAAATATATAAAAATGCATATGGGTACTCAAATGAAAGCTCTTGATGAGTGTAACATCGGGATGAGCTTATATCTTTAAAAATGT